TGATGGAGGTGATGGCCAGCTGCTATACTTGCAACCTCACAATCCACTGGTGAACAGGAGATAAGCACTCTGCAAGATGTCACGATAATTCACAACACACCCTCTGATCAAACTAAAGTGCAAAATCAGCATGTCATGCAGTTTCAGAGAACCCTCAGTCTGGGAACTAAGATGGAATCGAATGGCTCTGTGCTGCTCAAAAACGAGCAAGTGGGGATTGAAGAAGCCTTTTTAGGCAAAGATACAGGTACTGTCCAAAACGGTGGCACTGAGAATCCAACAGGAGCGACCCCGCGTGGTGTAAAACGCCCCGTAGATAATCAGTATAGAGAAGTAGAGAGTACTAAGAAAGAGACAACGGGGGGCAATACTCAGGCTAGGAAAAAGCTCAGAAATCCTGCCCAATCAACAAACAACTTATTTAGGATCCTTGGCTTGATCATGCAAGCCTTTAAAAGTCCGCTGACAAGCGATCTCGAGGAACATTTTATACGTGTGCTGAATAGAGCGCTTTTTGAGATCCGGAATGCCCATCAATTTTTGCAGCAATCTCAGGGTAACACTTAAATTTGAAGTGCGTGTACTTAGCCCACTGTTTCTCATAGAAGGAATCGCTGGTCTCGATTTTACGATAAATTAACCTTTCAATCGTAGCCATGTTGGATTTCACGCAAATTTTTTACAGTAGAGAAGACCTCTAACAAGTGTAGCAAAACCTTGACTCAAGATTCTACCCTCAGACTGAACTGTTTGATTCTGTGTAGTGTTATATGGGCTCAGATTTCATCGTTAACGTACGTGTCGTGTTGCGTTACATGTTCAGTTTCGTTTCCGACAATTTGACAATTTGTCAAATATAAATAAGTATAAGATTCTGATTATTTATATTTGACAAAACGGAGTCAAATTGTCGTTGGTTAGTTTAAATCTCTGACCTTGTTAAGGCTTTCCACAAGTCTGGCTCGAGATTTTTCAAAATGTTTCCCGCAATTTATCAAAAAGGTTTCCCAAAAGTTGCTCAAAAAACCATCAAAAGTTGCTTTTTGTCACGAAAGTTGCTCAAAAGTTGCTCGCAAAAACAAAACCTTTTTTTGGTCTGATGCTAAAATATGCAAATTGTACAACAAAAGTAAGCATTTTTGTGCAATTTTGCGGCGTTGCTAAATAACTTTGTGCTCAATTAAAACCAAAAAAATGTAATGAGCTAATAAAATTGCTGAATGACCTTCTTCACTCAGTCGAGTGTGAATCTTTGTCCACCATTTTGAATTTTCTCTAAAAACCGCTGCCCATGATCTGCCCCAGGAGGGAGGATTGGGCTCCCTTTTTTACAGGAAATTCATAAATTGTCTACTAAGACATTGAGAAATATGAAAGAAAGGTCAATTTAAGTACTAAAAGCTGTTTCGATATGTCAGAATTAGAAGATAACTAGAGAAATTTCTTCAGAATGCAAAAAAATTGCTCGAAACAAAAAAAGTTGCTCGAAATACGAGAAGTTGCCAAAAAGTTGCCGAGCAACAACAACAACAACAGCTTTATTTGCATGACTATAATTATGTAATTAGAGTATTGCAAAAGCTTTAACATAAAGTTTCAATTTATAACAATGATAATGCAATGCAATGATTACTACAGTCAATCAAGTGTCATCAGCATGATTTGATAACAAATTAGTACGTAAATCATTACATAATGAGACAAATTTCAACACATGTGAATTTACGGAAAAATTCTGTGAATTCATCAATTTAATCATTAATTCTGTGTAAGACAGCTGATTAAAGTCGACAACATTTTGTTGGATTTGATTGTAGAATTTCTCCCTTGGGATTGAATATTTGGACAATGGAAGAGAAAATGAAATTCGTCCTCAATTATACCAGAGTTACAAATAGGGCAGAATCTATCGTTGCGGGAAGTTTGATTAGTCTTCCAGTTTCAATCATGAGTTTGTGGTTACTTATACGAATTTTCACTAAGTCTTTCCTATTGGTTGAATTTCTAATTAAGTCTAGATAACTTGAAATTTTATAATCATGTTTAAATAAGCTGTAAAACTGCAGTTTCTTAGAATGATGGATTATATGTTATGGATTATATGTTGCAACTTGTGGAAAGCTCCAGACCTTATTATCCTGTCTTGACCTACACAGTCACAAGTAAAACAAATCTTGATAGCATGAAAGTGCAACACTACAGTAATAAGAAGTATTGGCCTTTTAAATATCTAGTCACAGGCGAAAAGGGAGGGGAAGGGGGAGAAAGAGAGGAGGGGGGAGGGAGAGGAGGGGGAAAGCGCGAAAGGGAAAAGGGAATAGAGCTTACTCTCCCCAATCCCTCTCCCTTTTTCCCTTCCCCCCAATTCGACACTTTTCCCTCGTTACACATAAGATTCTAACAATCAGATCATTTCTCATGACTGACAAGTGTCATAAATGAATTACTGTGTGTACAGTCTTCATTGTACAAATAGTATCAGTAACATTTATTTTCCTTATTTGTAAAAAATTCCTGAATTGTACATGTTGTACCATTATGCAGACCGATTAGAAACGCTAAGAAAAACTATGTAAAGAACTTCTGCTGGTGTATAGTGTATACTATTGAAAAAACAAATCAAGTTATTATTGGACATCATAAGAAGATATCCACTAACGACTTGTTCAGTATATGAAGTATCCTTAATAAATATTGATTAAGGTTGTGTAAATTGCGTGTTCTTGCGATATTTTTAAAATCTTCTTTTACAGTTTGTAAATACTTCGTAGGTAAATAAGCTTGGAAACCTCCTCACTTTTCTCGTGGAAATTATCTGGAGCGACTGAAGAACTTACTGAATTTCTATCCTTTCTTCGCCTAAACAAGCGACCATGCTAATTTTGTGAAGGACGACTATATTTGTATTGCGCTAATTATGCATTTAGTAATAACGATTGTTGTTGTTGTTGATTGGAGGATGAATCTTTTAAATGAGGTTGAGGTTTACTACACGATTGTCAGAAGATATTTCCCGGCCCACCCATTATAAGACAAATTTAAAGCAAGGGGCACATACACAACAACCCACGGCCTGGTCAGTACCTCACGTATGCGCACAGCCATATCACCCGGGCAGTGGCAGTCATGGACAGCTGTTTCGCCCTTATTGGGCTCATCAGCATGGCATAGCCGTAATAGTACTCAGCCTGTCAAGAATTAAAATGTCGAAAATTCAAGTTAACCGGCAGTGAAGGCAGAGTGCGTGTAACCTGCGAGGCAGGCCTTTGAAACGAAAAGGGAAGGAGATTCCGAGCGCGCGAGAAGCGCAAAAGGCGCGCAAGGAAAGGAAAAGGAACCTACCCTCCTCAAGGTCAAGCGTACCCCTCAAGATTCTATTAATAAATTGATTATTTAAAAAATGAATCTGTTAAATTGATGTTTACACGGAACAATTCGCAACGACTATTTTTAGCGTTCAGATGTTGAAACAACATTTCAGCCATTCGAAACAATGTAACAACAATGTTGTAACGCTGTGTTTTTGCTAGTGTCAAATTCAAATCGACATTCCTGTATGCGTAATGAGCAGTGAATAATTTACGAGAATTTCTCTGTATTTGGTCAGATTGAAAACCTTTGAATGAATTTACATCAAATTCAGGGAAACTTAGCTGGAAGAAATTTCATAACTGCCCTCGTATGAATTCACCGCTCAATACGCATGCAAGTATACAGAGATAAATTTGCAATCTACAACTAACAACGGATTCCACTTTCGAATAACAACTTAATAAGCAGGAATATGCAGCAGTCTGTAGCTGTTTAGTTTACCCATCTCTAAGGTTTTCGGTAAGGAACAGTGTTTATGGGGAAAAAAGACCAGTGACGTCATCATAATTATGGAATAATAGAAGGTTAAAGGAATACTAAATTTATCAAAAATGTATCAGTCATCCCGATTAAATGATAAACATGCTTTTCCAGGAAACAAAGAATCTATTTTTTTCCATATTTTAGCTGTTTATGTACGCACAGGGGTATGTGCGTATATGAACACTACGTTCCTGAGTTAATATTTCTCCACAATGATTTCAGGCGCTATAGAAAGAGGCTTGTTTTAAGATATGCATTTCATTTTCAATCGTATCGGTAAAAAAGATTAACCATAACAGATGTTGAATACGATAAAGAGAAATTGTTGATGATTAAACTATTACGTTGTCCAAAAGATAGTGACCATGTTTTAGTAGCTCAAGTCCGAGATCCATTTCAGTCGAATTTACAGTGGCGTATATTGCGTGAGATTTTGAAGATGTACGCACGCGGGGAAGAGTTAAGAAAAGTTATAGCGCCAATGGCGGCTCAATCCGGGAGTCTGATTTTTTAAACTTAGTAAGCAGGAATATGCAGCAGTTTGTAGTTGTTTACAGTTTACCCATCTCTAGGGTTGTTGGTAAGGAGCAGTGTGATGGGGAAAAATGACCAGTGACGGTGACGCTATCATAATTTTGGAATAATAAAAGGTTAAAGGAAATACTAAATGTATCAAACTGACGTAACAGTCATCCCGATTAAATTGATAAACATGCTTTTTCAGGAAACAAAAATCTACGCTACGTTCCTGAGTTAATATTTCTCCACACTGATTTCAGGCGCTATAGAAGAGGGCTTGGTTTAAGATGTGCATTTTATTTTCGATCGTTCTGGTAAAATATATTAACCATGGAAGGTAACAGATATTTGATACGATGAAGAGAAATTGTTGATGATTAAACTAGGATCGATTTCCGCTGCTCTCTCGAGGAGCGTGCATCGGCTTATCATTACGAAGATCGGCTGATAATCGTGCCTTCCCAAGAGAGACATTTGAAGAAGGTTAAATAAACGAAGGTTAAATAAACAAGTTAACAAACGAACAAAAAATTCCTTTGTTGAGGGGAAATGCTAGAACAATAAACTTGAACATAAAAACTGCAGTTTCCTCAATTACGGGAAATTTTGTTTTGAGCTCGTGCACACGATCGAAGAAAGAGGACCTCATAGAGCTAGGTAAGTTTGTAATAACTTAAACTGTCGCCATTAATTGACCGCATTCAGTCGCCTCACATGAAAATTTTAAAATTAGGAACATTTAAAGGGTGATAAATCCCCTCATGAGTTTTTTGTTAATCTGATGTCAGTTTGTTTAGTTTGGTTGTAAGTAGAAGTAAAATGAAGATAGAATGGATCTTTCCATAGCCCACGGTCAAGTGCACAACTTCCTATACCAGGCGACGTTAACATTTAAAACATATTCTAATTGCGTTCTTAGTACTGCATATCTAATCTCAAAACAGTTTGATTCATAGGGAGTATCTTCTCCGCAACAAATAGAAAGAACATGCCACCACGGTTCCTGCAGGATTCCCCTGCTACGATACGTCAGCCTACGGTGTACGTCCCATGTACGAGACCGGATTGTGTGCTCCCGGGTTGTATAAATCTGAAGTTACAGACTATGAATAACGAAACTAGAAAGACAAAGATACATGGAAATGGGCGTAAATCAAGGTGAGGCTATTTCAAGAAAAGTTCTGAAGGTATCATGCATTCATCAAACTTATACGACGACATGCAGCTCTTTTTGCTACGACGGGAGTCACGACTCTTTATTGCTTTTAGTCGAAAAACGATTATGTTGGTATACCTGTCCTCTGTATACCTGCAGTGCATCCGAAAATTCTGATTCAATAATTAATTTATAGCAGAAAACCATTTTCGCCGGGGATATTTAACTTTCCGCATAGCTGTATCACAATGCGTCAAGACACGCGACCATTTACAGAGCCAGTAGCCCAGGCTCACGAGTAACTCGGTGCCAAAGAAGGGCACAGCCAATTAAAACTCGCTGGAATCGCTCTGATACTGTGAAAAACACCAAAAACGTGCAATATGTAAAACACAGGGACCATAAGGACGCACTATACTTTCCACACAAACCCTTATAATTTATTCTACACAACCAGCGATGCTCTGGTGAACTTTGGTACTGGCTGTTAGTACATGTGTCTGAGTAAACTACGACTTCCAAAGTTTCGCAATCTACAGGTGAGGTCGAGGCCCAAAATGTCTGTAGTTTTTTAAGCCGAGCATTGCCAACCGATTATCTTTTAAATGCCAAACAACAATCAACAAATTGACTTATTGATGATAAAGTGAAGTCATAACATTGTCTCAGTGTTGTGAGTCTACGAGCCTCAGCTAAGAGGGATAATATATCACGATCAGAAGACAATCATTTATTTTTCCGTGTTCGGGAACTTCTGCCAACGTAGCAGGCGCCGATAATCATCTTACGCTATCTTATTACAGGCCGCGCTCCCTTGAGATTTTTCCATCACCCTAAAAAAACTGGCGCCTGCCCAATACGCAGAATAGGGATCTTCCAGTTAACGTGTTTGTATATTCATTTAAATCACCAGATGCATCACTCAAAACACAGAGATGGAGTTAACTACAGCAGGGCAAAGTACGGCTAGTTTATGGGATCAGGATCTAACAGACATCTTAAACATTCTGGGCGATGAAAACAACCCCAGCTCTTTCAACTTATCAGAGAACGATCTGCTTAGTATCCTTGATGGGGGTGATGGCCAGCTGTTTTCTCCCTCACAAATAACTGGTGAACTGAAGTTAAGAACTCTACAAGATGCATATGCCCCAAGTATTCACAACACACCCTCTGATCAAACAAAAGTGCAAAATCAGCCCGTCATGCAGTTTCAGAGAACCCTCAGTCTGGGAACCAAGATGGAATCGAATGACTCTGTGCTGCTGGAAAACGCCGAGCAAGTGGGGATTGGACAAGCCTTTTCAGGCCAAGATACAGGTACTGTCCAAATCGACGTCATAGCCAACACCACTCAAGCAACCAACCAATCTCCAAGCAATTGTAACACCCCATACGATATGAATGGTATGCAAAAAACAGGAGCGAGCCCGCGTGGCGTAAAACGCTCCATAGATAATCAGTGTAGAGAAATAGAGAGTACTGAGAAAAAGACAATTGGGGGCAATACTCAGGCTAGGAAGAAGTTCAGAAATCCTACTCAATCAACAAACAACTTATTTAGGATACTTGGCTTGATCCTGCAAGCCTTTAAAAGTCCGCTGACAAGCGATCTCGAGGAACATTATATACGTGTGCTAAATAGAGCGCTTTTTGAGATCCGGAATGCCCATCGATTTTTGCAGTAATCTCAGGGTAACACTTGAGCCTCCCACTTCGTGTACTTACCTTACTATTTCTCATATGAGGAATCGCTCGTCTCGATTTTGCAATAAATTAACCTTTCATGATCGTAGCCATGTTGGACTTCGCGCAAATTGTTTACTTTAAAACATGGAATTGCCTTGTAGATTAAATTGAAAAACAGTACAGACGAGCTGTAACAAATGCACCAAAACCGGCCTTGACTCAGGATTCTACCCTCAGACTGAACTGTTCTCTTCTGTGTAGTGTTGTATGGGGTAGCTGTCGTAAAACATTTTCTAAAAAGTTACAAAAACCCCAAAATCGTGCAGCTCGTGTACTCACCTTCTTCAACTATGAAGCTGACGTTCCCCAATTGCTAAAAAAATCTAAATTGGGATAACCTAGAGACTCGACGTCAGATTCTTATAAAGCAGAAATGGTCTATAAATCTTTAAACGGCCTATCACCGGATTGTAAATTTGTTCCACGTAGTGACATCAATAACCGTTATGACTGAAATTCTGCAAATAAGTAAGCTTGCTGTTCCCCTGCTAGTACTAACTATAGCAAAAGTAGCTTTAGCTATGGTGGTGCGGTTCCCTGGAACAGACTACCTTCGAACGTTAGGCAGGCAGCCTCGCTAACTTTATTTCGTAAGTTACCAAGACATTCCGACACGGCATTCATGTAAAGCAGGCTTTTTCTTTAGGAGTTGTATATAATTAGGTTGTATATAATTTAAGTTAGTTTAACTTAAAGCTTGTAATATTTTTACAAATTTTTACTGCTTGATGTAGCCTGCGTGGCAGGCGTTTGAAAGGGGACGGAAAGGGAGTTGTTTAGGCGCGAGAGAAACCCGAGGGGAGCCCCGGTTCTCGCGTTTCTCTCGCGCAAAAAACTCCCTTTCCCTTCCCGTTTCAAATGCCTGCCACGTAGGCTATGCCTGATGTAAAAACATTAACGACAAAAGACTGCAAAGAACCGCAAACGAATATGCCGAAGAACGTAGGATCCATAAAGACCTGATCAGCAAAAAAGAGGACGGGGGAAAGCGCGAAAGGGAAAAGGGAATAGAGCTTACTCTCCCCAATCCCTCTCCCTTTTTCCCCTCCCCCGAATTCGACACTTTTCCCTCGTTACACATAAGATTCTAACAATCAGATAATTTCCCATGACTGACAAGTGTCATAAATGAATCACTCTGGACACAGTCTTCATTGTACAAATAGTATCAGTAACATTTATTTTCCTTATTTGTAAAAAATCCCTCAATTGTACATGTTGTAGCATTATGCAGACCGATTAGAAACACTGATCGTATTAAGAAAAACTATATAAAGAACTTTTGCTGGTGTATTGTATATACTGTTGAAAAAAAAAAACTAACGAGTTGTTCAGTATATGAAGTATGAAGTATCCTTAATAAATATTGATTAAGTAAATTGCGTGTTCTTTAAATATTTTTAAAACCTTCTTTTACAGTTTGTAAATAGATCGTAGGTAAATAAGCTTGAAAACCTCCCCTCATTTCTCGTGGAAATTATCTGGAGCATTGAAGAACTTACTGAATCTCTATCCTGTCTCCGCCTGAAAAAGGGACCATGCTAGTTTGTGGAGGACAAGTATATATTTCTTGCACTAATTATGCATTTAGTAATAACGATTGTTATTGTTGTTGATTTGAGGCCGAATATTTTAAACGAGGTTGAGGTTTTGACTACACCATTGTCAAAAGATATTTTCCGGCCCACCCATTATAAGACAAATTTAAAGCAAGGGGCACATACACTGTATACACCAACCCACGGCCCTGGCCAGTACCTCACGTATGCGCACAGCCATATCACCCAGGCAGTGGCAGTCATGGACAGCTGTTTCGCCCTTATTGGGGCTCATCAGTATGGCATAGCCGTAATAGTACTCAGTCTGTCAAGAATCAAAATGTCGAAAATTCAAGTTAACGTCAGTGAAGGCAGAGTGCGTGTAGTCTGCGAGGCAGGCCTTTGAAAGGAAAGGGGAAGGACGGAAGCGCGAAAGGCGCGCAAGGGAAAGGAAAAGGAAACTCCCCTCCTCATGGTCAAGCGTACCCCCAAAAATTCTATTAAAGACTGATTGATTATTCAAAAAATGAGACCGTTAAGGTGATGTCACGTGACGATTCGCAACGATGATTTTAGCGCAGCACAGGATTCAAATGTTGAAACAACATTTCAGCCATTCGAAACAATGTAACAACAATGTTGTAACGCTGTGTTACTAGTGTCAAATTCGAACAATCAATCAATCAATCAATCTTTGTTCCTCTTATTAAGATAAAAAGACATAACTTACATCAGCCGCGGTTGGAAGTCTAAAAAGACATAACACATACTGTATACAAATATTAGAAAGATCAAAGATTGTATCTAAAAATAAGCCTATTTACAAAAACATTTTTAAATCTATCAGTCTTTAGTTCCGGGCGATGAGCACTTTTGTTTCTAAGATGATACTTTGTTTCTTTCTTCTTCGGAATGATGTTACGTTACTAAGCGGGCAATCGAGATCCACTGAACGTACCTTGAAAAGCTTCTTATCTGCCTTTTCTAAAAGTTCTCGAATGTCCATTCTCTTAGATGTGTATTTCCTTTTAAAGCATCCATCAAGAAAGTTTTGTATGACGGTGAGATCTGAGTTTACAGCGCCATAAACAGGCAGACCATAGGTGAAATTCGGTAAAACTAAGGCGCTAAATAGGTGGTCTACTTCACCTCGACTGAAACCTTCCTCCGATAAAACAGACACTTATTTGCCTTAATCAACTTAGCACGTGCGTGTTAGCTATATTTACAATTCTCCTAAAACGTAACACCTAAAATGGGCAACTCCGTGCATTGCGGGATGTTATTAACTTGCGCAATATCCTGAATAAAACCTTTCTTGCGAAAAATAGTTTCTTTACATTTCGACGGATTACAAATCGACATTCCTGCATGCTTAAGGAGCAGTGAATATTTTACGAGAATTTCTCCATATTTGGTCAGATTAAAAATCTTTGAATGAAGTTACATCAAATTCAGGGAAATTGAGCTGGAAGAACTTTCATAACTGCTTCGCGTGTGAATTTACGGCTCAAAACGCATGCAAGTATACAGAGATAGATCTGAAATCTACAACTAGCAACCGATTCCACTTTCGAAAAATAAATTCATTTATGGAGTCTTGAGGGGTACTCTTGACCTAGTCATGTGCTACACAGCCGTTTTTAGTGTCGTCACGCAACGTTCCTCCCCCGGTTGCTCCCCACTAGTTCTAGTGGGGAGGAGCGTTGCGTGACGACACTAAACACGGCTGTGTAGCAGACTACGCTTGACCTGGCTTGAGTGTAAGTGGCCTTCTGATCCCTATTTCCTCAGCCGATAATCTCACCGCTATTCTAATTAACCTCTTGGGAATAAGTGACTCTAAAAGACTGGAACGGAAACGTTTTTAAAGTAATAATGGTTATAAGCTACCAACAACTTCCTTTCACCGGTCACAGACATGGAATTTTGTTAAATTTGTTGTTCTTGCTATTTTTGCCATATTTGTTGCTCAATCTTTTCACGTAGCAACAAAAATTCTTGTTACTTTTAAGATTTTTGCGAAATTTGCTATTTCTTTTATACTTTTCTGATAGTAGTTTTCTTTAAATATTTTTCGCTAAAGTTGCGAAAACAATTTGCTAGCAAATTTTTGCGAACAAGATCCATCCTGGACATAAGTGACGTAAAGGGCAACCTTTTTGTGTTTGTCCTGGCTGCACCAGCCTGTTCCAAGCGTTCAGTTGGAGGGGACAGCATCAAAAAACGTAACGGGGTAGGGGCAGGGAGAGAGAGTGAAATTCCCCTATACTCAAACCCGTCTAACAGTTACATTATCTAAACGGCCTATGTTAAAAAAAAAAAAAAGGAACAGCACGAATAGAGAGCCCCTGTCACTTTCAAGAAAACACTTGTTCAAATTCAGTTTAGTTAAGTGTAAATCTCCTTATATCAGGAATGCAACTACAGTTCCTCGAGACGTAACTTGAGACGGATCTCTCCTGTAAGGGGATCCTCATCTGCAGATTTAAGACTCGGAAGGTCAGTTTCGAAGAGAGATTCTATTGCAGATTGCGGCCATGTTTTAGTAGCTCAAGTCATCCACTTCAGTCGACGTTACAGTGGCGTAGCGTGAGTGTACGCACGCGGGGAAGAGTTAAGAAAAGTTGTAGCGCCAAAAGCGGCTCAACCCGGGGGTCTGAACTTTT